GTAATTAACATTACTATAATTGTAATCACATGGTTTTATTTGTGGATAAGAAGCAAATGTAATACCATTGTAAACCACAGAGTGACTTTCAGTGGGATAGTAAACATATATTCAAATCTCTCAACTGTTGCCAAGAAGGGGGAGGGGAACAGGATGTAGATTTGACTGTTAGGTGGAGTGTTTTGCACTTTAGTTCATATCGAAGCAATACGTATATAAAACTTATACAATTTACCATCTTTAGAGTAATTATAGTAGACAACATGATTTACCTAGCTGTGTTCTGAAACATAATGCATCAAATATGATCACTTAGGTCCCTGAAGCCACCATGCTTAATGGGGAGGAACTCTCATGACTTTGCACACCACTATTTCATTCAGTGAATGTTTTTAAACTTCATATTTTGCATCTAAATTGACTTATGTCTACCTTACTTTAGTTTTACATTATATTTCTTCTGGGATGAATTTTAGGTAATTTTTGTCATTTAAATATCGCTTTCTGTAACAATACATGTACATATAGACGGTCACCTTGACCTTTAACGCCTTAATTACATCATATGAGAAGGCTGGTAATATATTTCAGTATTAAATTGAAGAGAGATAAATTGTGATATTAACAAGGATTAGTCTTAATAGGCTGCTGTATTTTAATATTTTTTCTGATTTTCTTAAATAAAGCTCAAATATTTAAATGTTGCCTGAAATGCACCATTCCTCTTTAGGTGAAAATGAATTTGCAATATAATTTAATATTCACTAATGTAATCTTTGACAAGCAGAACTATGCACATTGCTTACTTATGTATTAAAGTACTAATCCAAAGGCCATCAAGAAAATCAAGGGTGGGTTTAGGACACGAAGTACTAATGGTATGGAAAAATGAGAACCAGCCTGGAAATGGGTGACATTTAATAGAGTATATATGGGTTTGGCTGGCCAGGGTTGGCTAATAATGTAAGTTATGTTATAGGAAAAAGAATGTTTTGAGAGCTTATCCTAGCTGTAAGTGAAAAAAAGACACTGTTTTATTGATGGAATTTCAGTCCGTAACAGTCTTGAGTTTGAAACACTTATTACTAAAATTGCATGACTCTTTGGTGCGGAATTGATAGCACGTGTTTCAAACACATGTAGGCCCAGAAAATGCCGCGGCTTATATCTATTCCTTTACACAGAAGCTGACATACAGGTTTAATCCATACTGACATATAGGTTTGATGATGGGCACTCAGAAACTTTAAGTTATTGAATTTTTAATATCATGGCTCTTGCATAGGCTTACTATGGGAACTAAATTAGAACCGTGATTCCTATAGTGACCACTGTGTCCATGCGACTAATTGTTTGCTTGACCAGAGACATTGATTAGATATGTGTACATGTGTGATTTGGATTTTTAATATAGCTCTAGCTATTTTCAGTTGGGTAGGTGTACATTATTTACACACAGTCAGACCATGATACAAGAGTACATTATTTACAGTCAGATCTTTATACAAGAGTACATTATTAGAATCATATCATTATAAAAAGTACAGTACACGCTGTCAGATCAATATACAAGAGTACATTACACACTATCAGATAATTATACAAATAGTACATTACACACTGTCAGATCATTATACAAGAGTACATTATTTACACAGTCAGATCATTATACAAGAGTACATTAAACACTGTCAGATCATTATGCAAGAGTACATTATTTACACTGTCAGATCATTATACAAGAGTACATTATTTACAGTCAGATCATTATACAAGAGTACATTGAACACTGTCAGCTTCAGATCATCAAACAAGAGTACATTATTTACACAATGTCAAATCATGATACAAGAGTACATTATTTAGTCAGATCATTAATCAGGAGTACATTATTTATACAGTCAGATCATTATACAAATCATTATACAAGAGTACATTGCACACTGTCAGATCATTATACAAGAGTACGTTATGTACACAGTCAGATCATGATACAAGAGTACATTACACACTGTCAGATCATGATACAAAAGTACATTATTTACACACTATCAGATCATGAAACAAGAGGACATTATTTACACTGTCAGATCATGATACAAGAGTACATTATTTACACACTCTCAGATCATGATACAAGAGTACATTATTTACACACTCTCAGATCAAGATAAAAGAGTACATTAGTTACACACTGTCAGATCATTATACAAGAATACATTACACAGTCATAACACTATACAAGAGTACATTATATTGTCAGATAAAGAGTACATTATTTACACAATGTCAAATCATGATACAAGAGTACATTATTTACGCACTGTCAGATCATAGTACAATGGAATACAAAGCTGATCAGAGTACATTAATTAAGTACAAGGGAATACAAAGCTGATCAGAGTACATTAATTACTCACTGTCAGTTTGTGTGAGAGATTTGGATTAATTACTCACTGTTAGGTCAGGTTGTGGGTGAGATTTGGATTCTTAATAAAACTTTAACAAGTTTTCAGTCATATCGCTACGAAGAATGCAGTGTAGCAGTTTAAGAAACAAACAAATAAACATTTAAAAAAAACGTTGTGCTTGTAAAATTGTCTCTACATGAATTAAACTTATAGATGCATTATGTCTCAACCAGCCTGTATAGACTTGTTGGGGATACTGAGAGATGTTTCTATTTCCCTAGAAATCTATGAGCCATAGGGATATCAATTATTTTGTGAGTGTGTATATATATATATATATATATATATATATATATATATATATATATATATATATATATATATATATATATATATATATATATATATGCAATAAACTGACCACAAACAGTGCGAAACTAATAACTAATAACTAGCCTGAGCGCTTTCAACTCTTAATGAGTCTTTTTCAAAGGCAAATACAAAACATATACAAAACAAACAAATAAACACAAAAACGTTGTGTTTCTAAACCTCTACATAGCTGTCTCCACATGAGTTAAACCTATGAATACAACCAGCCTCTATAGACTTGTTGCGAATACTGAAAACTGTTTATAATTCCCTAAAAGTCTACAAGCCAAAGCGACATTTATTGCTTTTTGCTACATCTATGTACCGCAGATTATATCCCGGATATTTGATTTTATACCGGATATTCTTATAGCTGGAGTTCCGAAACCAGGAAGGAAAAGAAATCTCACTGGATAAGCCGCCTTAGAAAACTACAGCTGGAGTTCCGAAACCAGGAAAGAAAAGGAATCTTACTGGATACGCCGCCTAAGAAAACCACTGAATACACCGCCTTAGAACAATAATAAAAAACGGTCTAAACCAAGAAGACTAGAAAAAGAAAACTATGCACTAGTAGAATTAGTCTTTGTAGCTTACACAATTTTTTTCAAACTTTTTCTAAATCTTCTTAGTATCCTTTAATTTTTACTAAATATGTGTTTATTTGTTTGTTTTGTATATGTTTTGTATTTGCGTTTGAAAAAGACTAATTAAGAGTCCAAACCGCTCAGGCTAGTAAGTTACTAGTTTCGCACTGATCGTCGTCAGTTTATTGCATCTATCTTAATCAATCCCTGACACACGTGATCCCTTGGTTGATCCAGTGCGCTTGAAAGGGTTGTTTTTCGCCATATGATTTGTATTCTTTATATATATATATATATATATATATATATATATATATATATATATATATATATATATATATATATATATATATATATATATATATATATATATACATACATACATACATACATACATACATACATACATACATACATACATACATACATACATATACGCACTAATGTCAATCCTTCCGATTAACCCTGTTGTAGCCTACCGGACACCAAAAAACCTCTCAAGGATATCATAGTTAGGGCGAAATTAACGCCAATCACTAATGAAGACCACCCTAATCAACTTTGCCTCTGTGGCAATAAAAGATGCAAAACCTGTCAACATCTGATAGAGACCAGGACATTTTCTAGCACAGTGACTAGAGAAAAACTAAACATACATGTTCCAAACAAACGTGCAAAACAGAGAATGTGATTAATCTCATCATTTCTATGATCGGTAGCCTTCAGAATGTCGGACAAACTGACAAGCTGCACAAAACGACAAACCTTCATAGATTTGATTGGATGACAAAGAAGCTGTACAGAAGTCAGGTCGCAGAACACTTCTCCTGTCCTGGTCACACTTTCAGTGCATTTGTTCACAACCCTGAATGGTGTAAAGAAACCAGGAAAGAAAAATAGTATTACTGGATACTAAGACATTGAAACCAAGCGGTTTAAACCAAGAAGACTAGAAAAATACAACCAAGCACAAATACAACTATATTTTCCAGCCGACCCATTTTTTTGTAAATAATTCTCTAAATTTGCTTAATAGCCTACAATTAATTACTGCTATAACAATGAAATATCCGGGATATAATTTGCGCTTACATCAAAGTAAATAAAATAACAGATGTTATAGCTCATCGATTTCTAGGTCAATACAAAAATTTTCGAGTATCCGAAACAAGCTGAAATAAACTAGTTGAAACATAAATCAATTAAAGTTTTAATTCCTGTAGAAACAACCATGTAAAGGTTTGCAACACCATGGTTTTTCTATTTTATTTTTTGTCTAGTCTATGTTACTGTATATGCCTTTGAAAAAAACTCAGAGTCGAAAGCGCTCAGGGTAGTTAGATACTAGTTATGCACTCTTCGTTGTCAGTTCATTGCATTTAGCTTAAGGTGTGGTGTTTATAATTTTTAACGTAGCCTTTAAAAAATTTTCAGTCATATCGCTACGATGTCTGCAGTGTGGCAGTTTATATTGATGTCTAGCACTGGAGCATCATGCCGCAGACATGTAGCATGATGTTCCACCCAGTCACATTATCCTGACACCAGGCCGACCAGTCCCAGCACTAACCTCTTAATGCTAAGCGTCAAGCGAGGCAGCTGTTAGTACCATTTTTGTAAGTCTTTGGTATGACTCGACCGGGGATCGAATCCACGACCTCCCGCAAGCAAGGTGGACGCTCTAACCACTAGGCCATCGGAGCGGTTACCGTTTCATTCTCAATTTAATTAGATAAAAATAGAACAGGTTTAGCAAAAAATTAGAATAAATATAAACAGAAGAGTTTGTTAAATGATATAAATATTTTTTCAAACTTATAAAATTAGGATCTTTCGGATATCTTTAGGAAAAAGAGTCTCAAAGACAAATCATACATGGGAGAAATGACGTCTGAAAAAAGCAGTTTAGTAGGTATAGATATATGATGCTTTGTGAGTTATATAGACAAAAGCAAGATGCATCAGATCTACTGTAGAAGAAGGTTGATTTTGTTAGGTATTGAGAATTTATAACTAAATACAATATGTACAATCTCTTCTTCCTTCATTATGCAAGAGTTTTACCAATCAAATTAAGTTTAAAATGTGCAAGAGTTTACAATTCACAATATGTATAAAATGTGCAAGAGTCTTATCATTCAATTTATGTATAAAATGTGCAAGAGTTTTACCATTCAAATTTTGTATAAAATGTGCAAGAGTTTTACCATTCAATTCATGCATAAAATGTGCAAGAGTCTTATCATTCAATTTATGTATAAAATGTGCAAGAGTTTTAGCATTCAATTCATGTATAAAATGTGCAAGAGTTTTACCATTCAATTTATGTATAAAATGTGCAAGAGTCTTATCATTCAATTTATGTATAAAATGTGCAAGAGTTTTACCATTCAATTCATGTATAAAATGTGCAAGAGTCTTATCATTCAATTTATGTATAAAATGTGCAAGAGTTTTACCATTCAATTCATGTATAAAATGTGCAAGAGTTTTACCATTCAATTTATGTATAAAATGTGCAAGAGTTTTATCATTCAATTTATGTATAAAATGTGCAAGAGTTTTACCATTCAATTCATGTATAAAATGTGCAAGAGTTTTACCATTCAATTCATGTGTAAAATGTGCAAGAGTTTTACCATTCAATTCATGTATAAAATGTGCAAGAGTTTTACCATTCAATTCATGTATAAAATGTGCAAGAGTTTTACCATTCAATTCATGTATAAAATGTGCAAGAGTTTTACCATTCAATTCATGTATAAAATGTGCAAGAGTTTTACCATTCAATTTATGTATAAAATGTGCAAGAGTTTTAGCATTCAATTCATGTATAAAATGTGCAAGAGTTTTACCATTCAATTTAAATATAAAATGTGCAAGAGTATTACCATTCAATTTAAGTTTAAAATGTGCAAGCGTTTTACCATTCAATTTATGTATAAAATGTGCAAGAGTTTTAGCATTCAATTCATGTATAAAATGTGCAAGAGTTTTACCATTCAATTTAAGTATGAAATGTGCAAGAGTTTTACCATTCAATTTATGTATAAAATGTGCAAGAGTTTTATCATTCAATTTATGAATAAAATGTGCAAGAGTTTTACCATTCAATTCATGTATAAAATGTGCAAGAGTCTTATCATTCAATTCATGTGTAAAAGGTGCAAGAGTTTTACCATTCAATTCATGTATAAAATGTGCAAGAGTTTTACCATTCAATTCATGTATAAAATGTGCAAGAGTTTTACCATTCAATTCATGTATAAAATGAGTAAGAGTTTTACCATTCAATTTAAGTATAAAATGTGCAAGAGTTTTACCATTCAATTCATGTATAAAATGTGCAAGAGTTTTACCATTCAATTCATGTATAAAATGTGCAAGAGTTTTACCATTCAATTCATGTATAAAATGAGTAAGAGTTTTATCATTCAATTTATGTATAAAATGTGCAAAAGTTTTATCATTCAATGTATGTATAAAATGTGCAAGAGTTTTACCATTCAATTCATGTATAAAATGTGCAAGTGTTTACCATTCAATTTATGTATAAAATGTGCAAGAGTTTTGCCGTTCAATTTATGCACAAAATGTGCAAGAGTTTTACCATTCAATTTATTTATAACATGTGCAAGACTTTTATCATTGAATTTATGTATAAAGGGACTCTAGAGCAATTAATCGGTGTAGCCTCCAATTTAATATTTTATTAGATATGTCTGTATCCTCAGTAGAGCAACTGTCCCAGACTTGAGAAACATATTCTAAAATTTGACTTATGAATAGCATATATAACTCTCAGCTTAACTGTGCTAATAGCAAATTTGAAAATTAGTCTACGCTTTTCTGCAAGAGAAAACGAACGTAGGAAGACTCCGAGTGATTTAAGATGTAAATTCACTCGTAAAATCATCCAGGGAAAACGATTGACTGGAAATACTGAGGCACAATTCTGGAAAGTAAGAGATTGAAAAAACATAATGTAATTGCAACAATCTTAGGCAATTTGTTGATAATTGCTGATTTGTTTGTTTGTATTTGCATGGATGTATTTGTATTATTTCGTGTATCAATTTTCTTGATATGGCATAACTGTTGAGTTCCTTTATAAGGGTCAGCACAATGATATTCTTCTTTATATATACAACGACGGCTCGTTTGAAGGTGAAATTTTAATTATTCTCGAAAGTTGTGAATTTCATGCATTATTTTGTACAGGAAATTATGTATCTAGAATTTAATGCCTTATTTTAGTTGAGATTATTAGAATCCGTGCAAATTCTCCGACCTTATACGAGTGTGGTAAAAATGGTTTTGGTTCGTATCTAGGAGTAACCTCCAACGATGAAATTTGCCAGGTATCAAATAAAGCTACTACAAGCAGGAGTTTATGAAAGGAATAAAGAAGTAATCTGAGCTAATATATAGAACAAATAAGTCGAGCTCGCGTTACAAGTAAAGACAAAATTTAATAAAATTTTAAACAATAAAAATTTCCACGAATAAATAATATGAAAGTTACAGTTCTAAAGATACACTTCCTTTTTTACGTATTACTAATTAGGGAATCTTAAAATTACAATGACATTAAAAGACTAGCCGATAAAATCGAAAATTATTATTTACGAGTCCGAATATATCGGATAACTCTGCCTTGCATCAATGCATAACCTGTTGGCTGATTTCGTCCCACAGATCCTATCAGACTGTACTTCGGTTCCGTTGTTTCAGTACTACTTTCTTTCGTTTTACCAATTCAAGATGCTTTCCTTTTGTTCCAAACTGTCATTTTCCTTCCCACACTGTTGGGGTTGTAACTCTTCAGACCATATTACCTTTTAAAAATACAAACAAATAACCTAAATCTTCCGTCACATTATACGGAAATACATAATCAGACTGACCCCCTCGAGTCCAGAAATTAACTCTATCGACTTTCAAACAGTCTACACGGCTATTTCCTAGACTAATGATTTGCGAATGGCCATTTACACCACATGTGGCATTAGCCCTTTAACTCGGTCTCCTTACACGTAAATGAATGAAATTCTTCACTATACATCAAGGCTACATAATAGATTCGTTCTGATAGTTCCGACTACTTCTGTAACAGCAATCACCAATTCATCCATTGACTATAAATACAATGTTATCAGCGAAATGAATTCAACACAGTTATGTCGGATACATAATTCCGTATATAAAATAAGTATGAATTCAACATACTCCATTCCGACAATAATCAAAACTATAACTTAGCAAATCGCCAACTCATATATAAAAGTAGGTATCGTTGCGCGGGCTCAGATAAACAAACTAGACACAAGTATACCATATCAAGAAAATTATTCTATGACTCAACAAATAAATTCCTGCAAATACATGCTTCTACAAGCAATTAAGTCATAGTATAAACAACGTTTATAAATTCCTGCAAATACTAGTACTTACAAGCAATTAAAATATAGCATGAAAGAAGTATATGAGATTTATGCAATTACCTTGTTTTTCTGCTTTTGGTGTCAGTCAAAACCTTCAGACAAACGCCTCTCCCTTGGATAACAATTATTTTACGAGAAGTTTACTCGTTAAAATTCTCGGAGCTTTCCAATCTTACTACCTTTCTCTCTCGTAGAGAAGTGTAGACTAAAGTTTCAAAATCCCTCCAGTACATTTAAACTTGATGTTTTCGTTTTAAACTACGCTTCTTCCCCTCCACATCGTGACCAATCAAATTTACAATAATTCCCGCCTTTCCGGTACTAAAGACTGAGTTATTTCAATCAACAAATGTCTACGACAGTGCTGTCTTCTATAATCAATTCTGAGCAGAACAAAACTTGAACCCCCCTCGGTAACTTGAAAAAGACTCAGCCCTTAATTAAAAACTAATAACTTCTGGCCTTGACCGGACTAATATGTACTTTATGGCTTATACAAGGTGGCCATTTTCCCATAAATCTCGTTAATGGTACATGTTTGCAACTAAGTGTATTCTACTATAATTAATTCTAACAAAGATCGACCTAAAAATTTGGTCCTTTACAACGAGGTCACTCATGATAACGACTTTGCTGTGTGTGTTTGTTATAAACACTGTAGTGTAAGGAATTACATCATTATTTTGTTTAAAGGAGATTAGTCTGAATCTAATGTCTCGTTGTGGTGTTGAAATAGCCATTAGCAGGACCGTTAATTTTGTGAAACTAGGTTTGTGTACGGTCTGTCATAGCTAATTAGACGAGATACAAGATGTCAGTGGTATCTGTCTGAATTCCAATAGAACCATATCGGACATAAAGACGGGGATACGGGTCTATTCCCCAGTATAATGTGATGGAAAATTTATGTTGCTCTTGTTTATATTTTTGCAAAATGAATTAGCTTCACGAGTCATATTGACCTGACATGACGGGACACATAATTGGAAGGACAGAAAGTGGCTTGATACCGGGGACTCAGACGTATCGGCACAAAGAAAAGGAAAAGTCGTTGTGGAATTTGGACTGAGTCAAGACATCAGGTTATGAATCGATACAGGGCAGTTTGTTATCTTTCACACGATTCGATGATGAATATCGTTCAACAGATCGGCTGTTGGTAAATTCATTTGTATCTGAAATTCCTTGAAAAAGTTAATTCAAAAAGAAAGAATTGTATCTTCCAAAACTGTAACGCATTATCGCAATTCTTCATGCCT